CGTCAGGAAGAACAACCTTCAGAACACGGCCAAAAAGCCCGAAAAACCCAGAACAACCATTAGATCCCGGCCATGAAAGCCTTCGCGAATATATAATATCAAACCCCAAAAGTACAATAAGTGATTCCACTGGACATGCCCCAAACATTGTTTGCTATGAATAAATATAATATCTCAACTTATTTTTCTTTCTCCTTCCCTCCCAGGGAATATTTAGCCCATCACGCTGTTCAAATGCAGGGTACTCAAATACTTCTGGGGAATCTCAGGCAGGACATGGAGAGTCACCCCCAGTTGGTTGCATGCTGTTGCCCATTGGATACAACCTAGCAATCAGCATTCCGAGGCAATCCATGTATCATAAAATAAATTCCCAATATTTGTAAATTAAAAATAAATAAATCATAAGTAGATCAGTATAAGTAGATCAACTTGCTATCTGATGCGTGACAATACTTAGAGTTGCTTTGCAAGATCCAAGCTCAGCCATTATAAATGATTAGCACCTTAAAGCCAGAGTGCAGAGTCCCATGGCCATGACTGGAAAAGTTTGATTCTACTGACAAGGTACAGTTTGACAAATATTATATTAGACACTTATATAGATATATAGATACAGTATATTGATATACTACTGTTAAAACCTTCAAACTTACCAACATCACCATAGACATAAAGGCCCATCGGAGGCTTCTGTCTGGTAAACAACTGTGAGTTAAGAAAACAATGACATTTTATTCTGTACTGATAATATCTAAATTAAAAAACACTGTATACAAACAAATACCGTATTTTCCCGTGTATAAGACTATACTTTTGTCTAAAATTTTTAGACTAAAAATTGAGGGCTGTCTTATACACGGAAGTAAGCTGAGGAGAGTACAAAAACAAGTGAAGAGGAAAGCAGGGATCAAATTGTTCCTGCAGGGCTTTGATCCCTGCTTTCCCCTTCACTTGCTAATCCTTAGCAAAAGGAAAGCAGGGATCAAAGCCCTGCAGGAACAATTTGATCCCTGCTTTCCCCTCTGCCTGCTAAGTCCCATGGGGCTCAACAAAAGGTGGGAAGAATCAAAGCAATTTCGTGGCTGTATAAGGGGGAAAGGGATCAAAATGATCGTGCAGTTGCAAGATTGCTTTGATCCCTTCCCTCTCCTTTTGCTAAGCCCCAAGGGGCTTACCACAAAGGGAGAAAGCAGGGATCTAAGCGATCCTGTGGCTTTGATCCCTTTCCCCCTACACTTGCTACGCTCCACTTAGATTTCTTATTTTTGGATTAGAAAAGTGGGGGGGGCGTCTTATACATGGGGGCGTCTTATACAGAGAAAAATACAGTATTTATTGCAAAGAAAAACTCAACCAAGTTTCTCAAGCTAAAATGGACTACAACAAACCTGCTGTGAAAGTTAATGTATCAAAGGTCTGGTAGCTACAACACATTGGAGAAAATGGGAAGAGCAAAAAAAGCTGTGTGTAAATGTTCTTTAAATATGCCTAAAAGCTCACTATGGCGTCTTATACAGAGAAAAATACAGTATTTATTGCAAAGAAAAACTCAACCAAGTTTCTCAAGCTAAAATGGACTACAACAAACCTGCTGTGAAAGTTAATGTATCAAAGGTCTGGTAGCTACAACACATTGGAGAAAATGGGAAGAGCAAAAAAAGCTGTGTGTAAATGTTCTTTAAATATGCCTAAAAGCTCACTATTATTACTGCTAAGATTAAGATCATTGTTTGTGTTTAGTTCAAAGAACTGTTGGAAATGTGGTGGCTTTCCCCCACTGATTCAGATTTACTCATGTCAAACTTCCACAACTGTAGTCTGCAGAAGCTGAAGGACATTTTAGGTCCATTAGCTGTTTTTGGTAAAATAATGTGTTACATTGATTCTGCCAAGCATGATGAGAGTATGAGAAGCAGATGTGCTGGAGAAAAACTTTCCTCTTTCCATCATTGACATCACAACTGATGTCAGGGAGAGTTCTAATTGTACACTGCTCATAAAACCCATGCTTGTTCACAAGGAAGGAACAAACAGGGATGACAGATCTAGAAAAGTTTTGGCTGCAATAAAAAACACAGTTCTTAAGAAAAGTAAATTAACTCTGAAATGGAAAGGAAGTGGGAAGGATTAATATGAGACTCCAGTAATGTCATGTGGTTCTGTTAAACTAATATGAACCAACAGGAGCAAACAGAACATATGCATAGATTCTATCGTTCAGTAATTGATTCAGTGGCTGAATTCCATTAGTGAGTCACAACTGTGTGTGTATTCTGTGCCATCAAGTTGGAACCAATTCACAGTGATCCTAATAGGGCTTTCAAGGTAAGTGAGATACTGTATTTAAGTGGCTTTACCAGTTTCACTCCCCCAGTGAGTTTCCATGGCCAAGTGGGAATTGAAACCTTCTCCAGAGTCCATCACTCTATCTACTACAATACACTGGGAATCATGACTAGAGTAGACCTATTGACTCAGTGGGGATTTGGTAAGTCAACACTTATATAAATTCTATTGATTTAATGGGTCTACTCTAGTTACAACTCATATGATTTCAGCCAATGAGACCTGAGTGTGAAGCCCATGTTCAGTTTCATTGAGTAATTCTGGGTAAAGTGAATTTCTTCTGTATAAAACCAGATGCAACTCACACAACTGATTCAGTCAAGAGTCAGAAAAAAACTCTGAACTGAAGATTTATAACTGATAGACATGCTTACCAATAGAACCTCACCTTTGATAAGATGTGCTTTGGACCAATACTGTAGCCTTTAAGGCTTTCATGTAGCTTCTGCAGGCTCTCTATAACCCTACGTTGTTGTTCATCATTTTTCAGCATCTTTGTTTTGATCAGAAACTCATAATGTTCTAAAGGCCCGTTGCAGATCAATAAGGCTTTGGAATTAGCATCTGTTAAATTGCCAGTGGTTGCCTTCTCAGCTGCTTGAACTATGTAAGCTATAAAAGAGAAGCACATACACAGAGAAACAGCATTAGCTTTACAGCCAATGGAGAGAAAAAACACAAAAAATGACTGTATTTTAAAGTAATATGTACTTAGACCAGTAATACAGTTAAGCACTCTGAACATAATGATTTCATAGGGCCACACTCTTTAAATGGTAAACTCACTAGTTTGAAAGTAAGCCCTGCTTTTCTATTTATAAAATAATTTCTGACCTTTTGCTGCTCAGAAATGGCCCCAAGGTCACTTAAAATTTAAAATCTGAAAAGCAATGTAATCAACTGAGACTTGTTTCTGAGAAGAGATATACAGCATTACACTATCATTTACTTTTTAAATATGGTTTAGAGACAGACTACAAACAGACTTGTAAATTCCTGAGTTCATATTTCTTATATCTACTTTAAACAGTACAGAGCTGAATTTCTGAATATTAATGATTTCACATACCACATTTCTGAAAATTTACGATTCATTTTACAAAAATTGCAAGAACAAAATCAGCAGATTCTAGCCCTTCCTTTTTGGAAACTCAGGCAAATATAGTTGTGTATTTTTTACAGTTTCTGCCTAAACTGTACAATCTTAAATAAAGGTATGACAGTACAAGTGTCCAATTCTATACCACTTACCTAGACATAAGACTCACTGAATTCAGTAGGCTTACTTTCAAGGTGCTACACTCAATATGCCAGCAAGTTTGGAAAACTCAGCAGTGGCCAGAGGATTGGAAAAGATAGTGTACATCCCAATCCCAAAGAAGGGCAGTGCCAAAGAATGCTCCAACTACTGTACAATTGCACTCATTCTACACGCTAGCAAGGTAAAAAAGGTAAAGGTTCCCCTTGACAATTTTTGTCCAGTCGTGTCCAACTCTAGGGGGCGGCGCTCATCCTGCTCTTCAAGCCATAGAGCCAGCGTTCGTCCGAAGACACTCTTTCCGTGGTCACATGGCCAGGGTGATTTAGACACGGAACACTGTTTACCTTCCCACCGAGATGGTACCTATTTATCTACTCACATTTGCATGCTTTCGAACCGCTAGGTTGGCGGGAGCTGGGACAAGCGACGGGCGCTCACTCCGTCGCGTGGATTCGATCTTACGACTGCTTGGTCTTCTGACCCTGCAGCACAGGCTTCTGCGGTTTAGCCCACAGCACCACCACGTCACTCCACAGCGCCACCACGTCCCTACACGCTAGCAAGGTTATGCTCAAAATCCTACAAGGTAGGCTTCAGCAGTATGTGGACCAAGAACTCCCAG